ATTGGCCCGCTTTACTCAATAATTACTCCTTTATTATAAATAATAGAAAAAAATGGTTCAGGACTTTTCGACTCAGTTTTATTCCTTCTATCTGCCTACGAGAGATTGTACGGCTATTCTGGGACACCCTGTATATATATATGTATACATGTATATTCACAGTAAAGTGTTTTATCTTGAAAAAAGAAGCGGCAGTTACACACATCATCGTATATTTAACGCTAAACGTGTGCACGATGCGAATACAAAGTTTAAAAAGCATTCCTGCGTCAAGACGAAAAACGAGAAAAAAGTGCACGCGTGTGTACACGTACACACGCACACAACGTGCCTACCGTGCGGCACGAACATAGTTTCTTGACTGGAAATATGCAAATTTCCAGACGCCTGAGAAACACACACAGTCAATTTTTTTTCATCAAAGCTTGCTAACAGCAGAAAAAAGGCGACAAAAAAGAACGATGGAACAAACAACTGGTGAACATTGCTATGTGTGAGATCCTCTCGTCTCGTGAGACAGCGAAAAATCACAGCTGTGTTTTGCTTCTTTTGCTAAAGTCACGAATAATAAAAAATGACTGATGTAAGAGATAATGTTTTGAGATTTTCTTATATACATATGTGTGTATGCAGATGTGATTCTTTGATTAAAAACTATTTACTTTTTAACACATAAGTGACAATGACAAATAAATGTAATCAAACGTAAGTTAAAGATACAACAAATTTCACTACAAACAAATCTAGAAAAAACACAAACAAATCTAGAAAAACATTGTAAAATTGGATGTTTTTTTTTTTAACAAAAATATTATTACCTGTATGAAGTTAAATGTATTTTACGAAAACTCATTGCGCGCGAAAAATCATGACGAGAAGAAATAACGAGCCAGTTTTGCCAACTCTTATCGGTTAATCGCCCTATCGCGACAAAGAGTAACACTAAGCGCCCTCTAGCAGCAATAAATGATCCAATATTTGACTAGAGAGCGGCCATTCTATTGTTAATTTTTCACGACGGTTTTAATCGCCGCTCATGGGATGGTTTCTCTCTGGTATTATATGGTTTGTAAGACGTATGCTTTGTTCCGTTTTTTTGTGTGTAGGCGAGTACTGTGACAGTTCAATCCGGTTTTTAAAGACACGTGACTTAAGTAAATTCACGTGATTTGAAAATTGCGCTGAACCTTTGACTAAATTGTCATAAACTGCTGGCCGGTGTTTTCATGCTGTAATGAAGACTAACAGCGCTTCCGTCAACTAAGTAGCAGAAAAGTGAAACAGCGTAAAAGTGAGACAGCGACAGTACAAATTCAAATCAATTTCAATCTACTTTAACTCAATATAAATTTTCTTACTTCTCTCTCAGGTTTTTGGTCTAAAAAATATCAGAGTCTTACATGTCATTAGATATTAATTAAAATATCAGAGTCTTACATGTCATTAGATATTAATTAAATGCTTCTTTTATTTAACACAAGTGAAATTTGTAAATTATACAATCATATGTCAATGCTATACATCTCGTTTTTCGTAGGAAGACACGTTAGAAGACAAACGTTTAGACAAATGGCAAGAATACAATAAACAATAATTATTTTAAACCGTCAATTAAGTACTTACATTCTTGTGCAAAAGTGTTATAAAGTTCTCACGAAAGAAAACAGATGAGAGATCTATACACTATTCATATACACCTAACATGTGTATGTATAATTTATAAAAATATAAGTTACATATATATATAAAAAAAAATGTAATGGAAAAAAGTAAACTTACATCGTGACAAAAGTCGAAGAGGTAATCAGTGTAATTGCAAAAGCAAATACACATGTCATTATGTATATATTTTCCGCTTAAAAAAAAAAAAAATGTGAAAATAAAATCTAGATAAGCGCTAAGTCGAAGTCGAGCACGTTACTGGTATTAATTACTCTTGTTATTTTGTGTCTCGACAGTCATTCTCAATAATACATATATTCTACTTCATCTTTAATATGTTAAGGGAGTTATCGTGGTGCAATACACTTCAAAAGTATATAAAGGACTTAGGTCTACAATGAATGTAGTAAGGCTGCAAGAGTAAAGTTCTTGGAGTTATTTCATTTTTGTCTATACAAGTAATTATTTCGCGTTTCTTAACACGCGTTTTTCATTGGCTAACAGTAAGGCAGTAGGCAGTGCGAAATGGGAATTTCACTTCACCGAAAAATAGTTTACTCTCTACTCCTGCAGCGTTACTACCTTCATTGTAGACTGGCTCTAATATTACGAGCTGCTTGGACATGTTTTAATAATGTTATTTACACGTGATAAGTTTTTCAAAAATTTCTTAAATTGTTGAAAAATCACGATAACTCCCTTAATAATATTCTCCTACATAAATCTCTTCTGTACGAATAAAAATGGTAAAGTTTATTATCAAGATCGTGATTTGAAAAAGTCTTGAATTAAAAATACACATAAGATACAAAGAACATATAGCGCAAAAGATCGCCGAAGTTTGTCAAATGTAAATATCGTCACTTTCTTTGTGTTTTTGAACAAAAAAAATAGCTCTTTAGGAACTCAAAGGTTTTTACCCTACTCTTAAGTCTACCTCGTAATTTTTTTGTTTGTTTTGTTTTTGAGTACGCAACGTGTCCGATCATGGCAGTTTGATTTTTACTACTAGCTAGAAAAAATAAAATCTTTAGTATACGTAATACTTTTTAACAGTTCTGAGAAGAATCGCAACATCCCCGCGATTCTTTTTCATCAAGTGCGCGCTTGCGTTGCGATCGGTTTTCGCGATGGAGACCGGTGTGCGGTTATTGCATACTGACAAGGAAATATGTGCATATCAAAAACTCGGAGGGATCACTTATATATATTTCCTTGTGTATAAATTTGAGACTACGAGAATATATATTACGTAAAAGCACATTTTCTCTCTACACGCTTCTCTTTTTTTTTTTTCGGACGTACTAATGGAAGCGTCGAGGGCAGTATGGAAGTTTTATACACAACCGTATTCATACCAAATACTCCCAGTCTTTGGCTCCTTGTCAGCGGGAGTCTCCGTGAGTGCTTCGTCCTGCACCTCTTTTGTCGGAGTATTTGGAATATGTTTTGATTCGTTTATGACTGCGGACACTTTGTTGTAGATGAGAAAAGGACGCGGCTCGACTTGTGGTTCCGGTTTTAAATTCGTTTCCACTTGCGGAACGTGTACGTCATCTCCCTGTTCCTGGAAGGGTTCGCCTAGCAATCTATCAGTCTGTGTTTGAAAAAGATATTTTTTAAAATAAATACCATCATCTGATGCGAAGATTATGTTATTTATAAGATTATGTCATTGCATATACGTTTTTCTTACAGGTAAAGAAGCGGATGATGGAGGAGAATCATCAGTATAATATACTGTTCTTCTAGTTCCTGCGTGTCCAAGTGCGTCCGACCCGATGACTCTACTTGAGCCTGAAAAAAAAATAAATAAAAATTAACAATTATTACTGTTTATACAATTATCGTAAGTAATGATGTTTCTTACTGTGAGATATTTACCAGGCAAGCGGTAATCTTCAGCACTTGCATCAGAATCATTTCCACCTGTATCCGACTCGTATGTCTTACTGTCTAGTTGCTTCGAATCCTCGGCCCACGAACGTCGATTCTAATACATTGGTATTGTTGATGTTTTATCATCTCGTCATGATTAATTTGGGTGAAAGAAATATTAATTTATTGTAATTACATGAAAATTACGATGTTTAATTACCTTATTGAGAAACTCCGATCCAGCTTTTCTGACTCTGCGGACTAAACTGGCCCCGAAACCTTTTCTACGTTTGAAAACATACAAAGTTGCAGCATGAAAAACAATTGCATCGTATATACATATATTTAGAGAAGACACTAATGTACGTATACAATTAATTTGTTTCTGCCAAACATACTTTTTGGTGGTGCAACTGTTTAGTTTTCGATAATGTTCCATAATCTTGTCCTCCAATTTTTCTTTTTGTCTATATAGATGATTAACCTTGTCTCTGCAACACACGCATATTTTGAATCCATTTTAAAACTAATACAATAAATTGGAGTGTTATGTAAAAAGATTTATTAACGCGATATTAGAACGCAGAAGTTCTTTGAAATAATTAAATTTCTATAAAAACAATTCAGAGCTGTTGTTATATACTAACGCAAACAATTTTTCTTCCATGTGATAATGTTCCTTGTCCTGAAGAGAATGCGTTAAAAGCTCGTGGTATTGTGTAAATAGTAAATTAACATGCTCCATCAGAGAGCGCCTGTCGTTGTCCAATCCAGAATTCATTTCTAATAGCATCTAAAAAAAAAGAGAGAGAAAAATATATATTTAGCATTTCTCACAAGATCGAAAACCACACAAACATTGCAAAGTAATAATATATATGTGTATATATACATCACATCGTTCGTTAAGACTATTGACTTCTAATTTCAAATCCGAGCACTGTTCCTCTTTGGCACTAAGTTCGCCTTGCATCTCGGTTTGTTTCAAGCTCAGCCGATTCATCTCGAGCTTATTCTTTTTATAATCCTCTTGCAAGCTTCGGTACTCCGCCTTCAATCTCTCGCTTGCGGTGTACAGATTTCTAAAGTCATCCTAAAATCATTCAGATCACATCACCATCGCACGATCTTCTATAAATTTCTCTTTACATCGAAATTGACAGGAGAAAATCGAACATTTTACTTGCATTTGCAAACAGATACCTTCAATTTCGAATGTTCTCCTCGCAGATTATTCAAGCTTTTTGTGTTGTTAATCAAAGCTTCCCGTTCGGATTGCAGCGTTTCGTTTCTCGCTTCTAATCGCTCGCAAGTTTCGTGCAACGTTCTATTCTCGTTCTTTACGTCTCTCAAATTCGACTTGAGAGCGTCACGTTCGCGACGCAGATTTTCATACTCGTTGTTGAGTTGTTCATGCAACGATTGCAAGGTGTTCTGATCGTGAAGAAGTGCAGAATATACATGTTGCTGCATGCTGCGTTCTTTCAAAAGCTATACTCAGTAAGAAGTGAAAGATGGTTAAAAAGTAAAAGATAGTTAAGAAGTATGCAAAAAAGAACGAAAAAGTAATGTTTCTTCTTGCTACCAAGCAATACCTCTTCTTTTTCGGCAACAAGTTGCGAATTCGCTAGTTGTAACGCGGTGTGTTGCGCAGTCAACGAACTGCTTTGCGATTGTAGCGTTGTTATTTGAACATTCTGTTTTGCATTTTCTGACATTAAGTGTTCCAACGCCAATTGAGACTTTATTCGCACTTGTTCTAATTCTCGCTAAATAACAACATAATTGTATGTTGTTAACAAAAATGACAAAATCAATATAAATTTTTATCTCTCACACCTAAGAAAATACCTTCAAAGAGTCTATCACAGTTTCTAAGGTATTGTTAACATCGCTGCCATCGTTGTCGGTGCACTCCGAGAATTCGACCGTTGTATTTTCATCGTTTTCCGACGTCTGTTTAATGCGACTTATTACTTCAGGTATTTGGGCAATTCTGAGATAAAAAAAATTTATTTATGTGCAAATTACAGATTGTAACTAAAAACAAAAACCACATCTATAACGTTATCCATACCTTTCCAGTATAGTTTCTAGAGGCTGGGACAACATATTATCGCTAAGACCGAGTTTTTCTAAAATTGTGTAAAGTTGTTGATTATTTCGTTTTTCCGCAACGAGATTAGACTTGAGTGTCTCTAAAGTTTCTCTATCAATTGCAGCTCGCGAATCAAGTTCTTTACTAGATCGCTCGATCTCTTGCAATCTAAAACAAGAACCGTTTTATACAACGTACAACGTGTGTTATATATAAAAATAAATTTATTGTGTGTGCAATTTTTTTAATTCTTTACCTTGATATTTGCGTATCACAATCCTGCTTTTCTTGTTCAAACTGCACTACTTTCCTCTCCAAGACCTGAATCGTATTGGTTGCTTCATCTAAAGCCACGTCCTTCTCCTAAAATTGTGTCTCGATCAAAGGTATATCTACACACATCAAGATTAAATGCTTACATGTATATGCCAATATTTACCTCAATCACTTCTCTGTATTTATGTAGATCGCGCTGTGCCACATCTTTCTCTTTTTCTGTTGCTGTTAATCTCGATTCAAGATCGAGACACTTAGATTTAATATCGTTAACATTACTTTCGATAAGTTTCAACTCCTCGACTCTCTGGTTCGTTGTTTCCAAAGTACGTTCCAAATCGTCAGCGCGTTTTTGAACACTCTCGAGTAACAACTGAACGCGTTGTTTCTCTTTTACTGCTGTATCATAATTTTTTTCTAATTCTATCGTTTTTGCATGATGCGTCTGAAAATAGAATATGAAAAAAATAAATAAATAAATAAAATAAAGTTATTTTACTTTAAAAAACAAAAAGCATTTAGAGCAAAATGACGATATTGTTTTCTCACGTACTTGAATTTCCTGTTGTTGTTTCTCAAAAGAAGCTCGTTGATTTTTAAGAGTGTTTTGAAGTTTCTTATTTTCTTCTAACGCTTGCTTGCAGACTAACTCCAAATCGGCATTTTGCTGCTCAAGTCTTTCCTTGTTGTCGTTCAACGATTCGATCTTCAATGAAAGCTTCTTCTTTTCCTTTTCCAACTCCAAAACGCGAGACGAACTCTCATGAAATGAACTTTCTTTCAGAGAATCGATCAGAGTGTTTAAACGACGATTTTCTAATTCTAATTTTAATGCTCGCGCCTGGGCATTGCTTGTCAATTGTTCGGACAGTCTGTTATCATCGTGCATCGGTTCTTCAGAATCGCTAGATCCGGCCAAAGCAGCCTCGCTTGCAGCAGCTTTTTGTAATTCGTGTAGTACACGATCTAATTGTGACTTTTCCTCGACGAGTTCTTGATATTTTTCTTTGTAAGCAGCATGTTCCAATGTCATGTCATTAATTGCTTGTTTTAACTTAATAATCTCAGATTCAAGTTCCAACACTTTGTCTGCTCTGCTTCTTAACGAGGTCATTTGTTCTTTGAGCATTTCATTGCTTTCCATCAAAACTCTATTATCGTTGCGGAACTCCTCCATGCGGTGTTTATAATATTCGATATCCGTAAGTTTTTCTCTGTATCGCGCTACTTCCGTTTCTAAACGATCAGCTTTGTCCGCTTTTTCAATTACAACATCCAATTCGTCCTTGTACGATTTAGCGGTACGTAACTCGTGCGTCAATTCTTGATTATCTTGTTTAAGTTTAACAAGCGACGCTTTAGTACGTTCTAACTCCTCCTTACACTCGAGTAAAGCTTCCGTTTTTTCCTCCAATTCCTGACGTTGCTTTCGAACCTTAGACTTCCAATCAGCCAATTCAACCACGTAATGATGACTATCCTCTCTTTGCGCCTTAGTGACAGGATGAGACTGTTGCGTTTTATTCATTTCTTCAGATTCTACACTAATTGACAAATTACTTCTGTCACCATTGTCATCTTGCGTTGCGTCTCTCCATTTCTATTTTTGTTTTAACAAAACACACAATAACACGCAAATAAGTAGATATTTTCAAAAATAGAAATCTTGTTATATATATAAAAAATGATAAGATTATACTTCTCGATATAAATTCACTTCTTGGATCAACTTTTTAATTTCAACAAACAAATAGTCCATGTTTGCATTTGTCATAGCCTCTTGTGTAATAATTATATCTTGACGATCTGTAACCTAGATATACATAAATGTGTAGTACATAATTCTCTCTCTCATTTGTCAGTACTATTTTTTTTATTACGATTAATTTAGACACAGTACCTGTTGAATACATTCCACTAATCCATGTTGTGTAACAACATCCAAGGTTTTCATTTCAGTAATAAATTTTTCTTTGTTTGGACACTGAATGGCACATCCAAGAAGTAACAACAGCAACAGTTTCATGTCTGCTATGTATAATTCTGGTTCTTTTCCTAAATTTACAGTATCTGGTAGTTTTAAAATCACATGGTCTAATACCTCTTCGTAAAACTGCTTCATGTTTTGTACTATAGTTGTCAGATTCTTGGTACGAATAACAGGATTGCCATTGGAAGGCACTACTTCATCATATAATGGCTCCGGATTGCTATATAAATATTCAAACAATTTCTGATAAGCTATATCATTCCAGTATTTGTATATTTGATGCAAAATAATATAACATTGACAGATGAAATATAAATCTGTAAAATCTTACATTTGTAGAAAGACACTGTGTAGTAAAATACCATCTGTTAAATCATCATAAGTTGCCAACGCATTGGGGTCTTCCAAACAGCTGACGAACTAGTGCAACAGAAATATATACACAATTAATATGTTACATAAATTACTATATGCTCTTGAATTTCGAATTTTTTGCATCAGAACAAAGGAAGCATTTACAGTCAAGAAAAACGCATCCAAGCAAACATGATAAAAAAAAAAAAAAAAGACAAATTTGAAGCACATTCCAAATCAGGGACTTACCCAAGTGACCAGCGGTCCGGCGAGGAAATCGTCGATCTCCGAAGAAGCCATTTTTTTTGTAACTCACGCAAAAAATCTATAACTTTATGCGATTGTCATCCGTGGGGAACTGACTGTTATTTTTCCCTGACGTCGCGAGGAATCTCGCCGGAGAAAACGTAGATTCTCACGCAAAATGCGCCGCTTTATTAATTAACCGCGCGCAATCCACGCAACTCACACGCGGCCACAATTCGCTTGTCAGGGTTTAATTGCTTATGAGAACATGCTCAGATAATGCTTTTTTAATCGTTGCACGATTATACTTTATTCCGACGACCGTATTAGTACCGATTGTGTGTGTGTAGAGCATTTCGCGTTCAACGTTGTGTATCCTGTTTGTCATTCGTGTAAAACTGCACTTTTTGTATTTTTGTTTTTTTTTTCGACAAATCCAAATGATATCACCGACTCGCGACCGAACAAGCCGGCACGAAATTCCGACAGCTGATCGTTTTGACAACAAAAACAATAAAATTGCAAATCAGTCGGACAACCGACGCGATCAGCTGTGAAGGCCCATTCACACGAACTAGTTTTAATTGCACACTGCAGATGTTTTCGGGAAAAAACTGACCAATCAGAGCGTTAAATCGGTAGATGTCGTCTGTTTGTCGCATCGCTCGAGGAAACGTGCGATTGGTCGATGAAGTTGTTAGTTTTCTGAACGCGGCTTTAGATACGTAATTACTCACAAAAGACCATCTGATTCAATTTGAATTGTTGGGAATCAGTTAGCTGCAGTTAGTGAACGTAAACATAATATGACCATCATTCTGGACATGGATTTTCCGTAAGTTCGCACACTTCAAAATTGATTTATCGACTCGAGTAAAAAATTAGAATTGTGACAAATCAGCTAAATATCGTACAGATATTCGAAAGTTTTTAAATCTACACTTTAATAATTTTATAAATTTCTAAACTCCATCAAAATCTAGTTGTACACGTACAAACTGCTCTGGAAATCTCTATATTAATAATAAAAAAGTGCTGAAAACTACGTCATTTCACATTTTAACTAGACGTTATCTCACATTTGAAATAGAGAAATTGCCAGTCTGTTGTGGAAACAAAACAGACTGAAAACATTCAAGAAATGGCCTTTCAAGAACTCAGACAAGTGTAACGTAGGAAGTATGGCTGCTGCTGGATTTTATTTTGTTGGAAATCAAGATGAGCCCGATTTAGTCGAATGTTTTATCTGTAATAAGCAACTAGATGGGTGGGAATCGCACGATGATCCATGGTACACATTAAATTTACATACATATTTTTTATTATACATTTGAAACAACTTGTTAAATACTTCATTAATTTATATTACAAACTTACAGGACAGAACATGTAAAGCACAAACCTGACTGCTTCTTTGTAACTTTGAATAAGATGAATGAAAAAGATTGGACAGTAGAAGAACTGTACAAATTGTATAAAAAGCACCAATACAACAAATATGTAAGTAATACACTGAGATATATGTTTATTTGTATTACTTGTAAACTTTTATAAATATCAAAGCTGTCATATGTACATATATGTATATATTTAATGTTGTATAAAAATTTGCTTTGTACTAGGTGCAGGACTCAACTTCAATGCTTCTGAAACTGCAAGATGAAGCTGCAGCCTTAAAAAATGAACTATTTGCAATGCATCAAAAAAACAGTGGCTTATAATAGCTCAAATGAAGTGTTGCCTGATTGTTACTGTCCACAATTTATACAATAAAATTATCACAAACGTATACGTTTAGAGATTTCGATCGCCAACAATGACGTCGTTTGGAAAAAAAATGGAACGACGTCGGTACGATGTTCTTTCTTGAGAGATATACTCAATAAGCTCGAGAAAAAATTGGAAATATGGAAAAACAAGATCGAAAGGCGGTTTTTCTCGCTACCAACCACTTCTTCAGTGTGTTGCGTGGTTGACAAACTGCTTTGCGATTACATTATCTGAACATTTCTGTTTTGCATTTTTCGACATTAAATGTTCTGTCACTGTTTGTGACTTAATCCGCACTTGTTCTCGCTAAAATTATATATAAATAAATAATTTGTATGTTGTTAACAAAATGACAAAAATATTTTTATATCTCTCTCACTTAAAAAAATACCTTCAAAGAGTTTGTCACAGTTTCTTTGTATAATATTATTGTATATAGGTGTTGTTAACATTGCTGCTTTCCAGTGCACTTTAAGGACTGTGGTAAATAATACTTGGATGATTGGGAATCGCACAATGATCCATGATACACATTTAAAAAAATTTTTTTTATTACAATTTACATTTTAATTTTGTTTTTATTACAATACATTTGAAACAACTTTTCGAATACTTCTCATTAATTCATTTTACAAATTTATAGAACAGAACATGTACAGTACAAAATTGACTGCTTTGTAACTTTGAATAAGACACATGAAAAAAAGATTCAATAGAACTGTACAAATTGGAAGAACTGTACAAATTGTATAAAAAGCATCAATACAACAAATATGTAAGTGATACGCTGTGATAAGCGTTTATTTGTTATTAGTTCTAAACTGTAATTGTAAATCTATTTTTCAAAAATGTGTCATATATATATATATATATTTAATGCATAAAAAATTTGCTTTGTGCTAGGTGCAGGATGATGTCAATAGGATGTTTTTTCAAGAATAATACTCCATAAGCAAAAGTAAAAAATGACTAAATATGGAAAAATAGATGAAAATGCGAAAATTTTCTTCATTATAAATCGTCTTTTGTTTTTCAGCTTTGTTTTCAGTGTGTTGCGTGGTTGACGAACGGGACTGTGACGGTATTCTTGGACCATTCTGTTTTGTATTTCCCAACGTGAACTGTTCTCTCACTCCTTGAAACTTTATCTGCATTTGGTCCATGTTTCGCTAAAATCATAAGTGTGTGTTGTTAACAAAATGATACAAATTATACTTTTATTTCTCACACTTAAAAAAAATACCTTCAAAGAGTCTAACTCTTGGTCGCAGACTAATTTTAAATTGGCAGTTTGCTGCTCAAGTCTCTTCTTGGTGTCGTTTAACGATTCGATCTTCGATGAAAGCATCTTGTTCTCTTTTTTCAACTCAAAAACACAGGACAAATTCCTATGTAAACTTTTTTTCAGGGAATCGACCAGAGTTTCTAAACTATGAATTTTTAAATTTATTTCTACCACTATTGCCTGGGCATCGCTTATCAATTGTTTAGACAGTCCATTATCATTGTGCATTGATTCTTCAGAATTACTAGATCTAGCCAAAGTAATCTCACTTGCAGCAGCTTTTTGTAACTCGTGCAGAACGTGATTTAATTGCGAGTTTAGATTGACGATCTCTTGATAATTTTCTTTAAAAGTAGCATGGTTCAATGTAATAATCTCATATTCTGTGTTTAACATTGTGTCATCTGCTCCGGTAAACAAGGTTATTTGTTCTTTGAGCATTTCATTCTCCTCTCTCAAAACTATATTATCATTACGCAACTCTTCGATCCGCTTCATAATAATCGATTGATAATATTTGATATCCCGATGACTAGCTTTTTTTTCCGCATTAATGACGGGAAGCTGTTGCATGTTATCACTATCTTCAGACTCTACATCAAGTAACATTTCCCTCAAAATTATCTCATCAAATTCACTAATATCAATGTTGTCATCTAGTGTCGTGTCTCTCGATTTCTATTTTTGTTTTGACAAAAAATAACACAACGACAAAAATAACATAAAATAAGTTGACATTTTCAAGAGTAGAAATTTGTGTGTTTAGACACAGTACCTGTTGAGTACATTCTGTTGGTTCATGTTGTGTAACATCCAAGATTTTCCTCTTAGCAAATAAGTTTTTGTTTGGACACTGAATAACAGCACATCCAAGAAGCAAAAACAGCAAATCTTCCATGTCTGCTATGTGTAATTCTGGTTCTTCTCCTAAATTTACAGTATCCGGTAGCATTATAATCTTATCTAATTTTTCTTTATAAAACTGCTTCAAGTTTTGTACTATAGTTGTCAGATTCTTGGTACGAATAACAGGATTGCCATTGGAAGGCACTACTTCATCATATAATGGCTCCGGATTGCTATATAAATATTCAAACAATTTCTGATAAGCTATATCATTCCAGTATTTGTATATTTGGTGCAAAATAATATAACATTGACAGATGAAATATAAATCTGTAAAATCTTACATTTGCAGGAAGACACTGTGTAGTAAAACACCATCTGTTAAATCGTCATAAGTTGCCAACGCGTTAGGATCTTCCAGACGGCTGACAAACTAGTGCATCAAAAATATACACAATTAACATGTTACATAAATAATTATGTACTCTTGAACTTTAAATTTTTTGCATCGGAAGAAAACATCCAAGCAAATATGATAAAAAAAATCATTTGAAGCACATTCCAAATCAGGAACTCACCCAATTGACCAGCGGTCCGGCGAGGAAATCGTCGATCTCCGAAGAAGCCATTGTTTTTGTAACTTATGTGAAAAGTTCGTGCGATTGTCGGGAAGAATCTGCCAGAGAAAACGGTTACTGGATTCAAATTGAGCATGTGATCGAGAAGAGAAATCCGAAAACCGAAAACTCTCGTCCGTTTCGCGCATCTCCCCTACCAGAAAATCCTCTCACTTCATAGTTATTGGCTGTCAGGAAGTATCCCGCACACGCAACGATATTTCCACTTTACTCGCTTTCTTCCCCTATGATCGAATTTTTTCACCCCTAAATAAGTTCTCGATAATTTTATCTAAAAAATAAAGTATATCTTTTTGTATATTTTTAACTAGAGGATAGCTTTCGGAAGGTATGAAGAAATCGGCAGTATATGTGCAGATGTCTTTAGATGTCCTCAAAATTAATAATAAATACCGAAACAACGGTTTGAAATTTCTTACAGCCAATTTTTTCATTTCTAGATAAGTTTTCGATAACTTTATCTAGAAGATATCTCCCAAAATTGGTTCTCCTTATTGGTTCTCAGAGAAATTTATCCAGAGGATAGCTATCGAGAGGTATGAAGAAATCGGCAGTATATGTGCAGATGTCTTTAGATGTCCTCAAAATTAATAATAAATACCGAAACAACGGTTTGAAATTTCTTACAGCCAATTTTTTCATTTCTAGATAAGTTTTCGATAACTTTATCTAGAAGATATCTCTCAAAATTGGTTCTCCTTATTGGTTCTCAGAGAAATTTATCCAGAGGATAGCTATCGAGAGGTATGAAGAAATCGGCAGTATATGTGCAGATGTCTTTAGATGTCCTCAAAATTAATAATAAATACCGAAGCAACGGTTTGAAATTTCTTACAGCCAATTTTTTCATTTCTAGATAAGTTTTCGATAACTTTATCTAGAAGATAATCTCCCAAAATTGATTCTCCTTATTGGTTCTCAGAGAAATTTATCCAGAAGATAGCTATCGAGAGGTATGAAGAAATCGGCCGTTAGTGGTTCTAGGAGACCCAGTCTGCAGATGAAGAGTTAAACCCTATTAAATTTTATGTCTGTGAAATTTGTATAAAATTTTTTTTATATTGTATATCTCCGGTCTATTTTTTTCTAAAATTAATTATATGTAATTAATTATTTGCAAGTTTGATTTTGAAAATTTATATTTTATGGACACAACCACAGAGAAATTCTTTTTTCAAATCAAATTTATCGGAAGTGGTTTACTAATGTTTTTAATCATCTTTGTTTTTTTACTGAAATATTCCTTTTTTTTATCTTTGACCTATTTCTTTGACATACCATTTGGCTTTTTGGACACATTTGTTTCTCAGGCCGTTTTTGTTAGGGTTAGGTTAGGTTAGAGGTTAGGGTTAGGTTGGATTAGGTACATAGAGTCGGAGCAAGGCTGTTGTTGTTTTTGTTATTTTGTCACGTGTATCAACGTAAAATGCCGGTCGATCAGAAACGTATTAACGGGCCAGAGACTTCTGTTCCGTATGACATTTATGTTCCGCACGAAGCCAGAGACAACGCGATACAACTAAATGCGCCAAAGAGGCACGACGGCCGTTCACATAATGAGCTTAGAAACATATGTAAGGTTATACTTGAGATTTGTACACGTATAATTTTTATTTTATAAGATTGAAAAACTGTTCTCACGTCTAAGAAACATTACTGTTGGGAATAAAAATCTTTGTTTAACAGTTTTAAAAACAGGTATCATTAGTCAGGCCAAAGGTTCTGCATACATCGAAATGGGCAATACCAAGGTCATTTGCTCGGTATTTGATCCTAGAGAAGTGCCCAATAAAACCGGCTACTGCGTGCAGGGAGAATTGTATTGCGAGTTCAAGTTCGCACCGTTTTCTCATTGTAAACGGAAGATGTACCAGCAAGATGCGGAAGAGAAAGAATATAGTTTAATATTGCAAAGAGCTCTGGAGCCTGCGGTGTGTTTGGTATGTTTTCTGTTCCGTTTTAAAATGACTTAAAAAATGCATATCTGTATTAGATAGATAACTTTTATATTAATTAGTGTTTCCAGAGTGTTATATCTTTTATTATATTCTGTACTGTTTCAGCAAGAGTTTCCCAACTTCCAAGTAGATATCTACGCAACGGTTCTGGACAACGGAGGATCCGCACTGGCCGCAGCCATAATGGCAGCTAGTCTAGCTCTGGCGACTGCTGGTGTGCCAATGTTTGGTTTGGTCACAGCATCCACAATTGTGAGTAGATCTTGCAAAGAGACTCTTGTCTTTTATTCTCAATTCATTTTTGCAACTCGACTAACTTTGTGCCAAACAAATTTTCTTGATAGGGTATACACGATCAGACATATTTGGTAGACCCGACAGACGTGGAAGAAGCTTCTTGTTGCACTAAGCGTATTCCGGGTGCGGCTTACAATCATGGAATTGTAGTGCAAGCTGCCCTTGCGCAACATACGCAGGTTTCCGAAATGTTGGTTGTGGGAAGCGTTGACATAGACGCTATTACACATTGCACATCGAATATCTTCAGTGAAATTCATAAGGATATATGTCCCTTGCTGGAACAGTGTCTTGTAAAAACTGTACTTAAAACTTTTCAGCCAAACGGTAAAAATAAAATGGATAAGAAATAAAGAACACAAACTGTTTTTATCGATTTCTCTCGCGCTTCTCTCCTTTTCTTTCTAAAAATCTTAAGTTAATTTTACTTGAGAAGAAAATACACAAAGTATTGTGAAAAAGAACCAAATAGATCTGTTCAAAAAAGATAATCGCGACGGGGTAAAGGAAAGGAATTGAAAACAAGAACAAGAGCAGCTACGCATTTCTTTATTGAATTCAACATAGACCGCTTCTGAACTTTTGTACACTTTATTTTGCATCTGAAAGAAGATAATTACGCAGTGACGTTAGTCTTTGAGGGACGAGAAAAAGGAACTGAAATTACGCGCAACGCAAAAACCAAACTCAACTTCGCGCTCCGCAATAGGCAACAAAACAAACTCGGAAATATCACCCAACCATTCCTACTTTCTAGACGAAGAAAATCTGTTTTCCAAAACGTAAATATATATATTCTATGTTTTTTTTTTTTTTATAATGACTAACAAATTTGTTTGTTAGATAAGCAATAAATATTTCCAGTTCAAGAGAGCGCGTATATCGTATTTTATAATATTTTTTTAATTAACACGATTACGAATATCGCGTCAATTAAATATATTTTAATATCTGTTGAAAATAGAGACACGCTCTAATAATTGTGAAAAAAAAAAAAAAAAAAGAAAAAAAACGAACGAATTGTCATACCGCTCTCGCTTGATAATATTTGAATAAAACAAGAATTTTATCAGACGCTTCCTCGCATGACGAGAGAGATTAGAGTTTTATCAATTCTCTTCTGTCATTAGACAGAATGTTATTCCATCAGTAAGGAATGCAGTCACGAACGCAGTTAGACGTACTCGCTACAATTGACCTTTGTGCATTTCGAACTTCATTCTCGCGCCTGTTCTTATTCCCCGACGATTCGAATGACCCCTCCCCTTCTCCGTGGCGAGTCTCGCGCGCGTTGTTGTTTCTTTTCAATAAAAAAAACCTTGAGAAGAAAAAAGAGCGCGTGATCTCTCTCGTAAATTATGACGCATATACGCGAGTGACCGACGAACGATGTTACACGCCGATCTATTTTTTATTTCGCGCATAATTATACAGGAAACGCTGCTCGCGCGCGTCTCGCCTTTTTCTCCACCACGCTCTTTTAGCTTTCGCGCGGCGTAGTCCTGAAAGTCGCGCCACGGCCATCGGCCATTTTACCGCCCGGAGCCAAGTTGGTGCAACTATGGCCATCTGACCGCCGCACGCCAATTCCTCTCCGCAGCGCGTTTACTCTTCTTCGTCAAAACAACAACGTAGTTTTCGACGACAATTTATATACACGGGGCTCGTGTTCGCGCCGTGACGCACGAGACGATCCGAAACGACGTGCGACGCGACAACTCATCCGTCAGTCATGCAACGCGCGACGACAACGTCACCGAGAACGCACTTGTGTAACTGTCGCGTGTGACGTCTAACCTATGTGACCGCGTTCCGAAGGAAAGAGAATTACACACGGGGAGAGTGGATCGCGCACGCACGGGGCGGAGAAGTCCGAGAGTCGCGTCGACTTTCTTACGGGAAGGAAAAACAAAAAAAAGGAGAAATAAGAATAAACGCAATTGCGACGCGAGGATTGACGGATTCGACGCGCGTCAACGGGAGCTGAAGGAGATTTGCACGAGATCGTTCTTACACGAGGTCACACGCCGGCGCCTCACGAGGAGAACTCCACTTTGTATATATACACGTCAATCGTTTTATTTACAAATCGAACAGGAAACTCCGTCGGCCCGACGGCGATGTTGCGCCGACGACGCGCACGAAACTACGACGATGCGAAGAGCCTCCGAGTAACTAAACGGATTAATCAACGACGTGTACAATAAAAAAAAAAAAAAAAGTGTGTTTGCCGCTTTCTGGCTTACTAGCGTAATACTGAGTTCGCAGTGAAATTTCATTCGGTCGAGAGAGAAAGAGAAAGAGAGAAAGAGAGAGAGAAAAAAAAGAGAATTCAGAATTATCTTTTTGCGATTGTTGTGTGCGACGCGCGTTTTTTGACCAAATTTTCATTCGTATTTAAGCAATAACACAGCGAGGCCATTGACAAGAAAGGAAAGAATACTCCAGTATTGCATTACACACACGCACACGCACACGCATACACACATGTTACACACCAATGGATAGCTGAAATATTTTTGTAAGATTGTAAGGTTTTTAAGGAGAGCAACAGGACCAGCAAAACTGAAACAATGTTTCATATATGTAATAGGATTATATCTAAGGTGTTATGTAAAGAGAGCTGTCCAGATCATTGCGGCATATGAAGAAAAGTATTTCTTGCAACGTGCCAGTCAACTTTGCATAAGAAATCATACTATATTGAGTGCCACTTATACTGAGATAGAAAGAGTGAGATATATATATATATATATATATATATATGTATATATATATATACACAGATTCAAGAACAATCAGCTTAGTGCCATGTATAAAAATCTCAGAATCTATCTGTTGTGAGATGTATCAAGGATAAAGTCTGATTGGAAGAATCTTGGATTTAGTCTGTGTCATTTACAAGAAATATGGATGAGAGAAGAGTTGCCGATTATTTTGTTATCGCCGGTTTACCTGGTCAGGATGAGGAGCTTAATCAGGACAATGAAGCTAACAACAAGCTGGAGGATTGGTTCCAGGAGGGCACCCATCTCAAGGACATGCACATGCCACCTCCAATCACGGATCTTGCCGTAATATTTCCCGCGCTGGGAGAGAACTGTCCTGAGGGATATACGCTGTTAGATAAAACTGTATCTGGTTATCCGGCGGACTTGAATCATGGTAGTTTAAGATCGGAAGAGTGTTATCTGTGCTACAGAAGAGGCCGGGATAAACCTCCTTTAGTCGATATTGGTAAATAAGGAAGAAAGAATTATATAAAGAAATTGAAAGAGTTACGACAGTATTTTTTTGTACAAATGACATAATTTTTCTTTTTGTAGGTGTAATATACGATGGCAAAGAACGTATAATGCAGGATGCTGAAATGGTATTAGAAACTCCAAAAGGCCATGTGGCGAATGTAAATAATTCTACTTCGAAAATTTTTGTAACGTACAGACGAGCAAGTCAAAAGATGCCTTGCAATTCACTTGTGGTAACTGACATATGTGTTATCTTGTCGAACAAGGGAGAAAGTCCTCCCCATGCGTTCTGCGTCATTAATAAGAATCTGAACAAAGGAATGCTGGGCAGTGATGTGTTTTTGTGTTACAAAAAGTCGATGAATCGCGCGAATTTGATATCGTTTAAACCAGCAATACTCTACAAATATCCCACGGCTGATTACAACAGTTTTGCCTTTCCGAATTCCGTCGCCATGTTTTGTCTACCGATGGGCGCGACTATAGAGTGTTGGCCTAAAGTAGCGTGTAAACCTAAGCCAGTATTCTCGACGTTTGTCTTGACGGTTGCTGATGCTGCTCAAAAAATATACGGTTCAGCAATAACATTTTACGAGGAGCTTCAACTTGAATTGGACACCTCCAATTGTAAGAACAATCAGGAAATCATGGAAACCATTGACGAAAATAATAAAAATGGTAACAAATATATTTTTCATATTTTTAATGTTACATTTTGTTTTCATAGAGTTTTCTATAATCTTAATGTTTTCGAACGTTGAAGATGTGTGACGCATCTCTTGTGACTTGTAATCTTTCCCATTTCAGCAGATATGGAGATAACGAAAAATAAACCGCAGGTAAAGATGAAATTCAAAAGATCCGGTATACTCAAGAAGCTCAGTATATCACAATTGGAAAAGTTGCAATACACCGATCCCAAGAGTCAGTCATTGAACATCAGCAAATCTATCTGCATATTGTCTCACTGGCCGTTTTTCGATATGTTCGAGAGATTTTTGGTATTTCTGCACAGCATGGTAAACGGCAAACCGCAAAGTGTCCCGATTGAAAAATACATCTCGTATTTTTTATGCGACATACCGTTTCCGAGTCCGCAACGGCCGAGAATCTTGGTACGGCTGAGCAGTCAAGACAGACTGATCTTGACCCAACCGGAAGACTTGGCTCTGCCTAGATCAGGTGCAAGTTTCAAGCAGCTGCTGATAAACTTGGGACCTGACAATTGTTTGTTGATATTGTTATTAATATTGACCGAACAGAAAATATTGGTTCACTCCTTACGTCCGGACGTACTTACTTCAGTGAGCGAGGCCATTGCCATGATTCTATTTCCCTTCAAGTGGCAGTGTCCTTACATACCGTTGTGTCCTCTAGGATTAGCAGAGGTAACGCATACATATTGCTTGATTTAGCGTTCTGATAGCTATATACAAGCGCAAAAAAAAGTGGAAAGACGACTATGCTGGTTCGATTACAGGTATTACATGCACCATTACCATTTCTAATCGGCGTAGATTCAAGGTTCTTTGATCTGTACGATCCTCCTTCCGACGTCAACTGCATAAATCTGGACACGAATAATATAGCGATTTGCGACGATAAGAAATATCTAAATGTTAAGTTACTACCTAAAAAAGCAGCTAGACAACTCAGAAATTGTTTGGAGCTTTTATCGTCGAAGATTATTTTGTGGGGAAAAACTAACTGTTCTCAGAAAGGTATAAGTTTTTTTTAATATAAGTACATTATATTTGGATAAATTTATGAATTTCATTGATTCATTAGATAGAGGAGATGAAGACTTCAGTGTCGACAGAGAGTTTCAACAAAAGCGAAAGGAGCAAGCTTTGGAGCTCGAAATACAGGAAGCGTTTTTAAGATTTATGGCAACAATTCTCAAAGGATACCGAAGCTATCTGTTACCGATTACAAAAGCGCCTACAGTAGGAACAACAGATCCGACGAGTTTGTTTAACATCCAAGCGTTTTTGAGGAGTCGCGACAAAGCTCACGCCAAGTTTTACATGATGCTCGCCAAAACCCAAATGTTCATCAGGTAAATTACATTAGCTTTCTTTCTTTCAACTTTATATTGAATTATGCGTGAATTATGAATAAATTATATTATGCGTGACACGTGCTATCGTGCTATTTGCATTCCAATAAATATGAATGATGTTTCACACAGATTCATAGAAGAAAGAAGTTTCGTATCCGATATGGACATGGCGGGATTAGCATTTTTCGACGAATGCACAGAACGGGTTGAAGAGGAAAATGGTAAATATTTAGTAAGATCTTTCGAGATTCATGTATCGTGTAAACTCTCTGTTTTCATTATTTTTGTCTTTATTCTCAGTGACTCTTCTGGAACTGGATGAATCTCAACACAGTGAACGTACAGTATTTATACCTACTCCTGAAGCGGGTACGAATCAAACACCAATAATATACAATTCATTCAAACTGAACCCGGATCTTATGAGGCCTCAGAAGAACTTTTGTTTGAAAAATCCAGCTTTAAGTGCCTTTGGTATGGTACCTGGGAGTCCTATGGCTCGTAGAACGAAGCACGAAATTAAAGTTGCTCAAAGGATGGCGCGAAAACAAGTAAATGAAACAATTTTAATGGAAACGTATAAAAAAATGTTGTAAAATGTTTTAATTTTGTTCGTTGTTATGTTCGTTCAGGCTGCGATGCCCGACAGATGGGGTAGATGTTTGCTTGGTACATGTTACAGTCTTTGGTTTTTACATTTGCCAGCTATGTTGCAAGTTTCGAGTCAGCCTGCCGCGATTTTGCATCAGGCTTACGAACTGTTAGTCAAAATGCAGAAATTGCGTCTCGATCCCATGGAAGAGGTATAGACACCGACTTAAATTGTTATTAGAAGAAAAAAAACGAACTGTCGATTTTTAACGAGCACTCGTTATTGCTTCAGGTGTGCTACAGAGCTATGATGCAGCTTTGTGGTGTGTACGGGCAACCAGTTTTAGCTGTGAAGTTACTGTTTCATATGAAACGCAGTGGTGTTCAGCCTAATGCTTTAACATATGGCTTTTACAATAAGGTGAACTTTCTTAATTCTTTTTTAAGCTAAGTAAATATAATAACTTAGTAAAAACAAATTCGTATTTATACGTGAAGTTACATAAATAGTACATGAAATTGTATGTTGACAATTTTTATCAATATTTTCTTGTGTTTTCAGGCTGTTCTCGAAGCAACATGGCCTTCAGATATGACAAACTCGAGTCAGTTGATGTGGAACAAATTACGAAATGTGATTGTAGGTGCAGCTTTGTTCAAAAAGGCTGGAAAAAAGAGCGCTAGAAGACGACTGAGTTCTAACGTGGACTTCTTAACCGCCGATAAGACTGAAGGCATGGAGCATGCTCTTTCTCGGTCTAGTCTCGACAGTTCCCATTCACAAGACACCGAAGCTGCACACAGTGATTGTGAGTATAATTTTTTTCTTTTTTTTTTTTTTTNTTTTTTTTTTTTTTTTNGCACAAAAATATTTTAAACCTAATTCACGACATTTTTAACTGACTTGCTTTTTTCTCTCTTGACAGCTACTAAAGGTAGTTCGGTCTCGGATTTACCTGGATTCGGAACGTTCGAATTAAAAGCTAAGCTCCTTCGGCAGAATAGCATAGTGAAAGATCAAGCAACATTAAACATGTTACAATCGGATGAATTGGATCAGGCGCCCAGTAATCCAAGGTATCTTGTATGTTTTGCTGTTAGGACTTGAACGTTAGTGTCGCTATCAGGTTTGCTCAAGTCGCTGAAGTTGCTTGTTCTTTAGATTACATTTTATATATTGTTTCACTAGTACATATTTTTTATACAGTAGAGGATGCAAGCGAGTATTTTATTGTGTAGATCATTCTCTAGTCCGATTATCCACAGAAATCTTACGTAATAATTAATCTGCGTTTTTTCGTATTGAATTTTACAGCGCTAATTTGCATGTATAGGCTTATGTAGACGTAATATTTTCTATGTAGGCTAACGCGCAGTGTTGAATCACCATTAAAAAGTCCCATACGCACACCAGTTACGGAAAATGACCCATTGGGTGCTCTCATTAATGACGAAACACCGATTGTGTCACCTTCCGAGGAGAATGACTCAAATTGCTCAACAAGTACTTTAACCGTTTTAAATAATACGACTGAAGAGAGACCAGGAGGGCCACTCTTATTTAGAAGGTATGATAATCCATATATCTTCTGCATGTGTGAAATGTTTACAATGTCAATATTATAAATATTTAGACGAGAAACAAGTAGAAGAGATATCTCTCTCTGAATATAAAAAAATACATTTGTTTAACAATTTTCGATCAAGTTCACAATTCTCTTTTTTATAAGACAAAAATTAAACTAGATATAAAAAAGAAATAAAAATTTATAATTTTCACAACCACCTAATGGGAAACTGTTACTGGTGATCAAAGCAAATCACGATATCAAAGTAATCACTTGCACAGTAAGAGTATTTCTTTTCGTGGAGGCCAGTTGCGTCAAAAACTGTTGCTTTATTATTTTCAAAGAGTTGTGTATCATTCCGTAAGATGCTAATGTGTGAATATGATTTTACATTACGAAAATCATATGTGATGATTGCAGCAACATCCTCCCACGTAGTGCGACCTTTCATCAAGCGGTAGATGAAAGTGGCATGACGGTGGGCGGGCATCTGCAGAGAAGTGAGACGATGCCTCACTCTGTCGCGGAACAAGGGGAACAGGAGAGAGAAAAGGAGAGACTGGAAATAAGCAGTCTCTGGTCTCAGAATAAGGATAGTGTTACATCCAGCCTCTCTAGCTTAGGATCTAGTCTTAAACTTAGTTTCGGGTAAGATATTTGTAAAGTGTTTTTATCTAGTCACCAGTGCACCGTTCTCATAGTTAAATTTATAGTTTTCACACAATGCATTGTGTATGTTTTTTTTGTTTTTTTGTTTTTGTCTTTTTTTTTTAATAATTCCTCCTCGTGTAATGACACACCGCGTGAATGTAATATCATCAATAATCACGTAACAAAAGCACACACACAAACAAGTAAATATGTATATTTCTACACCGGAGGAATAACGAAGTTTTACATTTTTTTTTACTCTGCATGCGCATTTTGAGTTTTCTTTTTTGTTCTTTTTTTATTCGTCAAATGTAGACGATACTCCACGGGCGGATTGGCCTTTGCTAAAAATAAGGATTTAATATCATCGAATCAACTTATTGAATCTCTTAGCCTCTCCAGCTACATCAGGTACGTAATGTAAAGAATAATTAGTTGCATAGACGCTGATTAGACGCGTGTGCCTCTTCGTTGTTTGCGAAATGCCAAGTGTGTTTTTATGCAGAAAAACTTTTCTCCTCTCGCTTGCTCTCGATTCCGTACAGCGTGAACTCTTGTTCTTTTAGCCCGTCAAGCTTAACAGGAAAGAAGTCGAACGAAATAATACTTGGCGGTTTGAACAGTTTGAAATCCGCCGCGACGACCGTCGTGAAGAAATTCGACGAAATAAAAGAGGCAATCTCGGCGAACAGTACACCGGTAAAAAACAAAGAACGTGAACAAAAACTAGCCTACGGGATATCGCACGAGTCACTAGATTCTCTCACTGACGGATCCTTGCAAGATCGCAATGAAACTTCCATCAGAGCAGCAGGTATGCGGTATAGCATACGCGCGTCAACGAGGGATGTACCTTTACGTGATAATCTTTCTCAAACAACAGGTGATGGAAATTTAGATCTGTGCTCGCTGTACGAACTCGCGGAATGTCTGTATCCGAAGAGCACTAGAGAGGTCGAGGAACGTCTTGCCATTGAGCTTGTGCTTTCCAGTGCCAGTAGGTGTCATCATTGCGCCGCCATTCTATACGACGAGGAGATTATGGCTGGCTGGCAGCCGGAAGATTCAAACTTGAACACCGTCTGTCAGTATTGCGACAAGGCTACCGTGCCTCTTCTCACGGTTACAATATTAGATTACAGGTGAATAAATGTGACCATAACTGACAGTATCACCGAAAATCACTACTACAGGAACTTACATCCGTTTATGTAGATGCGAAACGAGCGAAAAGAATAACGATCCTTTAATGGGAGCATTGGTGGAATTGCTGGATCAACCGAAAGAAATGGATCCGATAACTGTGCCGTATCTGAATCCGTTGGTTTTGAGAAAAGAATTGGAAAGCGTGCTGGGTCAAGAAGGGGACGCTTGTCTCACCAAATATAGGTTTATTCAGGAACACCCGATAGTGTATTGGAATCTGATCTGGTATTTCGAAAGGATCAATTTAACAAGTCATTTGCCTGATCTCTGGTTGAATAGCGATAAAAATTCACAACTTCAAAGAACCATAGGATCGGTCGGTGTCCGAACCATGTGGGATAACGAGCGGTTGCACATGGATCGTTTGCCTATGTATCTTCAATGGAAAATGGATTCTACGGAGGATAGAACGTAAGTTTCAACGGATAAGTTCTTTAATGCCAACTTGATGTGATCATTTATTTTATACGTGACAATATTATTTTGTGTTAATTTTTATTTATATTCTAGTTTGATGCAGACGGTGATAAAATATGTCAGTTGCAACGACCTAGCGGAACCTATTATAAGAGTGGCCTTAGAAAGAAGTAAACATCAAACAAACGATCATCCGTTTTCTATATACAGAGATATTCTTTTCCTAGCGTTTACTGTACTGGGCAGAACGAATATTGACCAGGGTAAGCTTACGTCCGTACGTAACAGAACATCGAAGTTTTATATCTGACAACGCGCGATTATTGTTTTTTTTTTGGTTTTTTTTTCTTTACAGGCGTCTTTGACAGGGAGTACAGTTTATCGCTGGACAAGTTTTCCGAGAACGAGGAGAAATTTCTGCATAAAATCGACGCGCCACCGACGATGATGTCGATGTACTGCAGGCATTACTTCAAGCAATTAAACGTGTGAAGACCGCGATCTCGGACCGCGAAGCTCGAGAAATAATGCTCCGTTCGAAACGTCAAAGGAAATGCGACTTTGTGAACAATAAAAGCTCGCGAACACATGAGCGTTGCAAGTTTTTGTTTTTGCCTTTATACGAGTGCGCACAGAATTGAATGTGCGCGCGAGGAATGATGTCAAGAAATTACGTTTCATCCGGTCTCGAAATTCGTCTTTGACGCGACGTAACGTGACGCGTACGCGCTACATGTTGAATGTTTATTATTATCTAACACGGAAGGATTGTATTATTATTATTATTAATATTAATATTATTATTATTATTATTATGTTATCGATTATGTGTGTGTGTGATTTTTTACGCTCGAGTCCGATCAATAGCGCGATTTATTTCTCAAGTGTTAGAAATTACGTTTCAGCACGCAGTAGTAGCGTCAATGAACACGCAAAAGAAGAACTAACGTATCTCGTTTTTATTTTTCTTTTTTTTTTTTTTTTTTTCTCTCACGAGATTCCGCTTAACTCGCCGATTACTCGTAATTACTTACTCTTTGCTTGCGCAGAAATATTAAACGTCGGATCGCGTCGGATTCGGGCTTTGTTTTTATTTTATTGCGTCGTGAGATTCTCAAATTCCGGCTTACGCACGCAACCCGAACGGAAATAGTTTTTTATCGGGCCGGTCGCATCAACAATCGTTTGAGCGCTAATCGCGGTTTAGCTGAGTTTTCCTTACCGATCCGTATTGCGGCGAGAAAGGCTGTGATATCTAGAGAGAGGAATGGAGAATTACTGCGACCGTAATTAAAAAAAAAAAAATAAAAAATAAAAAAAAAGTCGATGCTACCGTAATATCAGATCGGTGCAATAAGGTGTGTTGAACGATAACAATTCGATTTTAATTAAATTTGTACACCGCCGCGATCGGATACGCGGTGAGGGAAGAGACAGAGATTTTCTTCGTCCGAATAGCCGATCGCCGACGCGGTACAGCGTCTCTCTGATCTTCGTACGTTTATATTGTAAAATGACAATTGTTCATAATCCTCAGTTATCAGTTACTTCTCATTTTTATTATTTCCAAATCGGATTCGCATGCCTCTGATTTGTGATTTAAACAAGACTCGCAGCGCATCTAAGCGGTATCTAAGAGTACAACGTCGAAAAAGAAAAAAAAAAACAAAAAACAAAAAGTGTGTTGAGTACCAAAGAGTTTTTCACGGATTGTAAAGCGACTGCAGAAGTTCAATTCCCTCCAGGTGTGCTGTGACTTTTAAATACGTTTCAGTCCGAACATACACGTAATATCCGCAACGTGTAAAAAAAAACAAAAGGAAACAAAAAAGAAAAAAAAAAAAAAAAGAAAACAAAGTTGTCGATCCGAGTATTAAAACGGAAGACAGTCTTTTAATATACCGACTATTTTTTTTACTGCGAAAAGAGAGTGAAAGAAAAAAGTGAGAGAGAGAGAGAGAGAAAGAGAGAGAGGGAGAGCGAAAGATATCGCTCTCCGACATGCAGTATTCTTTCCTCTTGTACTCTTAGATAGAAACAATCGTTTGTTTGCACGACGGACGCAAGAACGTAAGGTATCGTTTCAAACTTTAAACGTCCCAAGGTGAAAAGTGTCGACGAACGGTGGCGTTCGACTACTCGACTACTGATTAATCCTCGAAAGCAAAATAAATAAATTTTAGCATTGAGAGTAAAAATATTTTTATGAATTTTTAGACATTCTCGATGAGCATTTGTAATAGCTTAGCGAAAACTTAGTTAGACAAAAATCGCTGTCCACGATTTATATTCTACATATGTATCGTCGACACGGGATGACAATGAGATTATTATTCGTCGCGAGAATTGTAGAAAACTCGTGAACGCGGCCTTTTTAGCGCAGCGCACTTTTCACCCTGGACGCACCGCGGATGATGATTCATTCATTTCAATACTATGAATGTAGATTACGAGAATAAAGCCAGTTGAAGTATTTTACAGAAGTGGTTTTTGTGGTTTTTTTTGTTTTTTTGACACACACACCACATTACCGTGTTTATGTTGCAATTGTCACAATCTAACTTGTTTCCTGTGTGTGTAAATTTTATTTTATATCCTTTTCGTAATAAAACTTACGCGTACATGTGCGTGTAGTTCCGTATTACAAAATTTTCTTGCGTAAATTTTAAGAAGATTAAAAAACTTCGATCTAACAAAATCGTTTCTGTGAAACAACAATTGGCTGGTCGATCAATCGAATCGATCGCTCGATGACCGAATGACTTGAACCGCAGTTGGTAAAATTGATCGATCGTCATTGTTCCTAGTCCTTCCTGGCGACGTCAGCGCGCCAAGTGACGAGAAAATGTATCGAAGCTTCGCGAGATCGCCGCTTGGATTATCGGCCGTGACACGCGCGGCGGCTCCGAGCGCGTCCGAACGAGTCCGAAGATCATTCGAATTCGAGCCGACGAAGGCGGCACGTCGCGCGAGAACTCGTTCCGTCCTTCGGTTCGTGTTTCGCGCTTCGCGTTTCCGTATGTGTCTCGAAACTACTACGCAAAGAAAGAGTCCGAAAGAGTGAAGACAGCCGCGTTACCGCGGCGGTGTGTTTTTTTTTCGTGCCAACGCGTCCCCCGTCAAAAGTTACAACACGCGCGACACACAATGTACTCCGACGGTCACGAAGTGGACGGCAGCTGGGTGCTGCGCGTCTACGTGACAGATCTGCAGGTCGAAAGGAGTTTACGTGTGAAGGGAGAACTGCACATCGGCGGTGTCATGCTACGCCTCGTGGAGGATCTCGGTGAGTGCAACTGTGTTTCTCTTATCCTCTCTCTTCCTCTCTCTCTCTCTCTCTTTCTCTTTCTCCCTTCTCCGATTTTTCTTTTCACGCCCGTTTCTCTCTCGCCTTTTCGTCGACTGCTCGCTCGAACGCGTTGTTTTCGTCGCACACAAATGCGAATTCGATCTCCGATTCTAATGTCTCGATTTCTCACGAATAAAATTCAAAGTCACATTAGGCGCAAAAAATTGACGATCACTCGTGCTCCAATTTTGAAATTACCGGCGAAACGACGCGCATGCATTGTACGCTCGTTAAACTTTGAGTGCGGCAATGTTGCGTGTGTTTGGTTTTGCTTAATAAAAATGTTTAAAGATTACGCAAATATATGAAACAGCGCGCATAAGCGCGGAAGCATCTGAATAATTGATTAAATGCAGTTAATTGTCTGATGCGAAAAAAATTGGGTAGAGGTTTCGCAATAGTAATTGTTGTGTCAAAAAGAAAAAGATATTAACTTGTTTGAAATTTTATTAACTTGTAAATTCTCACCCGCATGAGTCTGAATCATCGGTCAAGTTTTGTCGAAACTAATTTAACAAGGCTGAAAACATCGATTACTCGCGCATCGGCAAGCCGCGGATAATTGGCCGAGCAGTTGCTGCTCGACGGTTTCATCCTCGGTGAATTAGCCAATTCCGATCGATCGAACGAGCCGGTTCCCATCCATTTGCGTTAGAGATAAATAAAACAAGGTTGTTTATTTGTTACGTAAAAAGAAATTTAAAAACTTTAAATTTGATTTATACATGAACGTCGAAGTTTTGTTGAATTTATTCGGTTATTTTATTCACATACGTATGGAATGAATTGTTTTATTGGCAACCATGAGACCGGAAAATAAGAAATTGTTACTTGTTTTTATTTATTTTAACTTTATTTATTTTTATCAAAATTTTGTTTGTTGCCAGATCGACGATCACAACTCGTTTTTTGTAAAACTACGATATTTGAAAAATACGATCTAACAAGCTAAAAATCAATTTCGTCGTCGTCTTCGATTCATCCGGTCGAAGCAATCATTTTTGGCAAAACTTCGTGGCTGTGTCGAAAATTTTCGCTTAATCGTGGCGAAGAAACGCTTCCGTGAAGAAAAGAATTCGAGTGAGTTGTTTGTTCGACCGTCGCGCGATAAAAAGTATCGTCATATCTCGAGTGTGACGATATTCCTTTGCGCGTGCGACAAAAGTACATACGGCAACGATAATTTCACGCTATCGTCGATCTCTGGTTTTCGCTCATCTTTCGTATTGTACGTACATCATACTTCGCATGCAATGACGAATGCGCGATTATTCCGGTCACGCGTTGAAAAGTCCATTAACGAATTGCAAACGAATGTGTCATTTCTTTGAATAATTAATTTCATAAAGAACGATTTATGCGCGTGGAAGCGCACGATAAAATGCAATGTTGAAAAAAAAACAAACTTGTTAGTTTTAACGAACACACGGCGGTGGTTGGAGAATGGCTTTTCGCTTGTCTCGAAACACAATTGATTTTCAAACAGAGATAACCACTCTTATCTGTTGTTTCTTCCCAAGTCTCTTCTGTGAGAGAGTGAATTATTAATCGAAGTGACGCCCAATTCTCTTTCGCGCGGAGAGATCGAGACGTGACGCATGAATATGTTACGACGTGAAGTAACAAGTGCGGTTGCATTATTCAATCCCGTTTCTGCGCGCGAGGGATGAAATTACGGATGGGTGATGTTGTTGCGGAAAAAAAAAAAAGGCAGCGCTCGTATACACAAACAAGATGTGTCCACAGAAATCAGTCGCTGTCTCTCTCTCTCTTTTGTTACTTTTCGTTCGATCTGACGCGTTTCAAAATTCAAATATTTACTACACACACGCAGTCTCAAGAAATTTTTTCAAGAAACATCGTTTAAATAAAATCGACGATTAAAATTGTCACCTTAGCGAGATTGGTGATTTGTTGTAAACATCTATTTAACATATTGTATATAATTGATTAGTCGAGCGAAGAGAGGGCGGCACGAAAAATATCGAGCATGTCGCGGAGCCAGGTAGAAAAATCCGGCAGCCATATCTTTTGTTGACTGGTCCTCTTTCCTTTTTTGTTCTGCCGCGCCGGCCCCAACAGGTTAACGTAGCCGTGCAGGTTCCCTCCGCATCGCCACTCGACCACTTCGAACCGGACCAGTCGACGCGTATTACCAGCCCCGTGGTGCTCTTATGTAAATACACCGGGTGTCCCGAAGCCACAATTTGATGCATCCTGATGGACGAGAGCGTTCGGTCGAAGATGCGCATAATTTCGAGGATAATAAAACTTTTCAGGACAAATTTGAGCCAAAATAGAACATCAGTTAGAATGTAAAATTATTTATAATAAATTAATTATAGGACAAAAATCAAAAATTTAAACCGTAAACGAAGCTGCTTCGGATGCAGCGAATTGTAGCAGAGATTAATTGATGTCGCGTTCTCTTTCGCGGTTATCGCTTAGGTCGCCTAGGAATCAAGAATGATCTTTTGAACTGCTCGTTTAGCCGCTTCATCCATCGCGATTTGTTGGCGCTTTAAATTCCACATTACAATGTGTAAACACGTTACGTAAGCGCCTTCGAAGTGGTTCGATCATATCTAATGTTGTTACGAAACGTGTATCGGCGCATTATGAAATTTCTTGTTTAGCGAAATTTTACTTTCATGTGTAAAGTTGAGAGACGCAACTATGTTTACTATCCCGTAGAGTTGCGTGTGAGGAACAGAGCGTATGCGAGCTCTTTCTTGAGTAAATTAATTATATTCTTGATTATTGTTTAATTATATTATTACCCTCTTGAAAAAAATCTAATAATTCGTACGGTTGTTTTTCACATAAATTAACACAATCTTTATTTTTTTCTCGACCGATTATGAATACATATGATTGCTTTCGCTATCCGGTTGTTACGTTCGAGTTATTTCGTGATCAACGGTGATGATCAAGTGGATTATTTACGCCTCGAATAATTGACACTCGCACTGGTGAGACACGTGGCTTCGCGACGTTATGACGGAGGAAAAAGTCGGACGATACTCGAGCCGATGTGTGTGTGTGTGTGTGTGTACGGTATGTCAGTAACTCGATGACAAGACTGCATTCTTCTTACGACTCTTTCCGCGAAGCCGCAGAAGACCCGTCGTCGGTGCGCCCGCCGCAGAGCTTTCTTTTTCGTTAGGTCGCGATTTCCACGATTCGAGAATGCGAGAGCTCGTGTTGTACGAAGTGCGATCCTTTAATTAAAAAAAAAAAACAAAAAAAAAAAAACTCGGGCGAAACTTACGTACAGTTTTGCAATCAAAGTTATAAAACTGCTATATTGCGCTGTGGTTTTATGTGTCGTCTACAAATTCGAGTTCTTTTCGAAACATTTGCGAGAGTCTCTCCCCTATTGCGTTGATTCGGTCAAAAGAAGTTGTTTTTCTCAGAGACGCGAAGGATGGGGGAAAAAAAAATAATAAAGGAAAAACTTGTGGGTGAACTATACCGCCTCGAGAATTTCCACGTCTCTCGTCATCGACGAGGAGGAGCGCGCGAAGGTTAAATCCGAAGGTCGACACGCCGCAAAGCACTTAAGTCGAATTATCTGCTCGGATTACGTGTAAGCGTTGGATTACCGTAATTTTATATCGCCTCGACTACCTTACGCGAAGGGGATGAAACATTTCGGTGAAAACGACCCCGTGTATGCAATATATTACATACACAAACACTGTCATTACAGAGAATGTTTTTTTTTTTTTTTTTGTTGATAATGTTAGACCAATTTGATACGAGTAGAATTTCGTAAGATCCTTTCGTCGAAAAAAGAGAAAAAAAAACGTTTTTTTTTTTTGACGACAATACGAAATTTCCCACATCCGGTCTCGAATGAGAACGAAGGTTCGTTCGCGATCTCGGCCGTTCGATCGTTCAGATGGCGAGCACTCCGAAGGTATGCATTGTATCTGCACCTGGACTTCTTTGAAGACGAGGTCTTGCTGTTACGGTATTTCGCACGGAATCGCGCGGAACGCGCAAGATGCAGACGACGCTAGCTTCTTTCTTGAATTTGTTTTTATGGTGAATTATATAATTTATCGAGAGATGAAAATCTATCTCTTCTCTCTTCAATTTCCGTGAAAGGAAACATTTGTCACTTTGGATCTCTTGTGTATTCTTCGCTCATTTCTCTCTCGAATCTCTTAGATTGAATAGACGAAAGAGATTTTATTCTAGATATTGTAGACGAAAATGGAGAAGCAGGAAGATGTGACACGGATGGATATCGTAGATTAAGAGGGTGATTTAATTCTGTTTGTGTGCCCGCGATACACTAGATCGAAGGATCCTATTCTTTCTGGGAAGAAACCCAAGAGGAGATTACGTCACCCATAATATTCGTCAAAGCCAGAAGAGTTGGCGTGCGTCAGGTTTAGAAATAAATCCGCGATATCTGGTTTTTGATTTTCAAGTTTTTTAATTTACAGAACACATTTGCGGCACAATTCTTCGCAATCGAAATAGTTTGCAGAAACATGTTAATACTCCGCGAATATCAATCTCTATTTTGCGCTGGAAAAACTTTTCCTAGAGATAACCTTCGGCTTAACGTTTTAAAGTCCAGTTCGAATGTGTGTATACAATAATTCACATCGAGTGACGTCGATGATCTTTTCGTAGCTGTGACGAACAGACATGCTAACGCGATGATCGCGTGATGCTACATGCCGCGCTATAGCTCGCAGTTGTCTCGACTAATCGATTAGTGCCGATTGCGCGCTAATTTGGACACTTGGACATTAGTTGTTGAGAATTCTCATTTATTTTTTTTCTGACAAAACAAAATTACTTTTAAAAACTATAAATTCGATATTGCGATAAAACTACGGTTCTCTCTCTCTCTCTCTCTCTCTCTCTCTCTCTCTCTCTCTCTCTCAAATATGAATAAATTTTTTTCGCACAGTCGA